AATCTTCCCACGTACAAGGTTATGCCTTCTGTGGGTTTCTCAATTGGTAAATTGCATATTTCCATAAGCATTCTGTAAAGGTAATGAACCAAATTTTGAATGGTTAAAATATAAAAGATGTAATTGGTTCAGACACATATAAAATAGAGGGTGCTTGGCGATATTGTTGCTAAACTTCACTGATAATAAGAAAAGGACTTTGCTTGGTGAGACTTGACACTCACGTGCAACATAAAAACAGATTGATATCAATGAAAATAATATACATTTTGTCGGTTTGATGTGAGGAACAATTGTAAACTGACATTTTTTTATAATTTGACAAATAATGACAGCGAAGCTTTAGCACCATTGTCAGGCCTCAGATGACCCCACATGACACATATTCCACCAGAGACCACGCCTATATTCCGCTACTAGGCTGACGGGTATTCTCGAAGAACCAAAGGACATATTTCTGTACCTCACAGACAGACTATTCCAAAAAGTTATTTTTTCAGTAGAGACGAATAAAGATTCCATCAACAGAAATTTGACGAATGTGCTAACACTTGGTATCATAAAGCTATGTTTTGTGGATAGAATAAAGCAGTTGTATTTTTCGTGACAAAAAAAGTAAAGTCCTGTTTCATGGACATTATGCGCGCCAACCTATGACTCAGTGACATAACCCTGGTTTGCCCTAGGCAGCCTGAGAACTTGACCTGATTCAAAAGCAGCTAATTCCTTTGCTGTCAAAAATATGTCAAATCTGAAAATAGCAAATAAGAGAGTGTGCATACATATAGTCAACGCCAAACAAAGTGGCGTGCACGTCATCACGATAAAAATTCCCCGACCTAATGCCTAGGTTTCTATCACAAACAATTGCTCTATTGCAGTTTCATATTAATGTGATATATAAATTGTAAAATGGTCATTACTCTCTTATTATGGTTAATAGTCATATAAACATTGTTATTAAAATATCACATAAGTTGCTTTCTGATAAATTTAGACGCATTATGCGAAATAAAATGTTTTGCAAACGCTCCAATCACTTATCGACATGTAAACGCACTAAACCGATTTCGCAGCGTTGACACATTGTCACCTTGAAACTTATTTAAACTGGGAACTGACATTTGTATTAATTTTGACACTGAATCAATTTGTGGCATTTCAAATCTTTATAAATCCTTTGGCCCCGCATACTGTAAATCAACAACTGTTTGTTTCAAAACAAAATTATTCATTTTACGAGTAGATAAAGGCAATTTTGGTATATAAAGATGCCCAAACAGTTAAATAGTCGGTGTAAGGAACTCGTGGCCTGGTTAATGCACTACTTTGAGCAAGAAAGGGACAACAACGGGCCTTTGTTGCCTTTAAATGCTGTTCAAGAGGTAGGTTACTAATAATTATATGTAATGTGTATATTAATAATAGTGAAATTTTATTTCATTTTTTGTAGCGTGTTGCTGCTGCTTTAAAAATTAGTTTAAGGACAGTTAGTCGTATTTCCGAGGGTGTGAAAAGTGATGCAAATTTAGAATCGCCCAAGAAAAAGCGGAGTTATATTAAACGTGTAACCAACACAGCGACATTGGATACAAGTGCCATTCGAGAAGTGATCTATAATATGTATCACAAAAGTAAGATCTTATTATAATAACTTATCAGAAATTTGCATTAATTTGTTAACTAAATTATAATGTCATATTACACATGGTTTCAGAAGAACAAGTTACGATACAAACTTTATGGTCTCGATTAAGAGATAGGGCATTATTTGATGGTAGTGCCACGTCTTTAAGGCGGTTGCTTAGAGATCTTGGATTTAAGTGGCTTAAGGACAATCCGCGACGAGGGCTCATGGAACTACCAAGTATAGCTTTGAAAAGGGTGGAATTTCTAAGGCAATACAATCAAGCCAAGGTTGAGGCCTTATACCAGTTTGTCTTCCTCGATGAAACTTGGATATTTCAAAATGGGACCATAGGTCGCTCTTGGCAAAATGGAAACCAAAAAAGCGTGAAAGCTATTAAAACAGATGGTAAAAGGTATGTACTTTTACACAATTTGCACTATAAAATTTAAAACTAATATATTTTAGATACATTATATTACATGCTGGAAATGAAAATGGGTTTATTGAGGGTAGTGAAGCGATATTTTCTTCGAAAACAAAATTGAGCGATTACCATGGAGAGATGAACCAGGACAATTTTTTGAAATGGTTTCAACATCAGTTATTAGAAAAATTGGAGAGTCCATCTATGATTATACTGGATAACGCCCCTTATCACAGCATGATATTGAACAAAGTGCCCAACAATGCATGGACAAAAAAAAATATCCAAGACTGGTTGACAAATCAAAACATTTTTAAACACAATGTTTAAAACAGAGCTATTGAGTATTGTTGCTCGGTACATAATGCTTCTTAATTATATATATTTTGGTCGACAGTTTATATTTCTTTTGTTTATTCCTATTCTTAAAATAACTGCTTTTTTAGAAACAAACCACCTAAAATATACGTGATTGATGAATTGGCGGAACAACATGGGCACAAAGTTCTTCGTCTGCCTCCTTACCATTGTATATTTAACCCTATTGAGTTAATTTGGGGCATAGCAAAAGGTTACTATAACAGACATATTGGTAACAGTGAAAAAGACTGTTTGGATATGTGGAGCGAGGCTCTACAAACGGTTACCCCAGACATGTGGAAAAATAGTGTTCGACATACTGAGCAAGAAATTTTTAAATGGTATGAAAGAGAACGAATTTTTGATCGACCAGACATCGAACCTTTAATAATCAACTTTGAGAGTGATGAAGATTCAGATTCAGACAGCGCTGAAGAAAGAAACTCCGACTAACTTTATTGTACAGAAAAAGCTTACACCAGTAGCTTACCTAATTTTAGAATGCATTTTTCTGTATGAATTCTGTAAAATAAATACCATGCATAAAATTTGGAGGACCCCATTTGGATTTTTATTCAGTACCTTTAAGCTATCAATTAAATATGGTAGTTTCATAGTGTCATCTGATCAATAATTGTCATACTTAATGATTATGCAAGTACAGATCTATAATTTTATTATACTATTATTTTTGTTCTCATTTGAGGTTAATATTGCTTATAAACCTAGATATGTAAATAATAAATTTTATTATTTTACAAAAAGTTTGGCAACAATGTAAATTTTTCAACACACCCACCTTGATGACGTGCACGCCACTTTGTTTGGCGTTGACTATATTTTGTATATTGCATATTAAACTCAAAATACCAAAATTTGGACTTAACCTAGTCTGACACTGAGGTACAGATTTGCATGTTACTGTGACGAATACTTCTTTCATCGAAATCCCACGTACAGAATCACACAAGTGGAATAAGTACCACATGGTCTTTGCAAGCATCTTATAGTACGCACGTTAGTTTCTCATCCTGTGCGTATTATATTATATCTACTGTTTGTATCACAAAAGGCCGTTATCGGGTTAGGCAATACGGCACAGCCTCTGTATTGTCAAGGCCGCCATCCTTCACATTGTTTGGATTGAGCTTTAATTTGAATTCGAGGATGTACTGTCCCTTACTCGTATTATGACTCTGCAATGAAGAAGATTAGGAATGATAATGAGAATTTTCAATATCAAGGGTGTCGGAAACATTCTGTCTATATTATGTAGAGGCCATTTAGATATTTTATTATTCAAGATAGTTTTTTGGTGGCCATAATATCCGGAAGCTTTTTCTAACTATGCACAGTTTATCTGCCCACCATTTTTTTCTACAAGTCTACTTGAATATGCCGTAATATTTTTGATAGTAGATAAAATTATGACTCAGCCGATTGTTTACCTACATTAACTGGGCTAATTTCCTAATGATTCTTTATTTAGGAATACATCATGTGAAGCTGGTTGAGGAATAACAAAATATAACTTTAGTAAAATATAGTAAAACCTCAAAAGTAGCGATTTTCTATAAATTCCGATTAATTCCGAATAAGTATGTTAATTCAAAATAAAAGTATGACCTCAAGTAGCTTGACTCTATACTTCCTACCAAGTTATGTCGTCAACTAGATTATATTCGGTATATTTCCAAAATTATTGCCATATGAACTATGATTACAAAAATCAAGCAAAGCGATTATAAAATATTATGAGATATATAGTTGACTTACCTCATATTTTTAGCAGTCTACTATGCACATGTTTATGGGCGTATACAGCTCTAATTAGAAGAAATGGAAATTCTACAGATCTTAGCTACTCTATTTGCATTTGCATTTTATTGTTTGATACACTTAAACAGAGTATTCAATGAAAACTAGCATTTAGTATAAAGTCTTGCAAAAGTTGCAACTGGACATTTTCAAAAACAGTTAGCACATCTAAAGTGCTGAGCAGATATGACATCTCTCGAGATCAACAATACAAATCGTTTCAAAAACGCTAATCGTTATTATGAACGTGAATATTTACTCTGGCAGTTGCCGTTAGTACTTCCGTGTTAAAAGTAATAATATTGACAGCAACATGGAACATGAGCCAGGTTAAAAACATCATCATGTTCCTCACCACCTCTACCCCGTGAAAGAACCTCGCTATAGCTTGAAGATAGTGACATAAATCCACTTGACAGCGAACAACTTACAGAGCAAAGCGGTCGTAATCTTTCGCCGGCAAGGATATTGCGACTGGCTTCCTCGGGAGTATACCGCTTAACATTTATATATATGTCGGCGAAGTATTAAAAACGAAAATGAAAACGCATAAATGTCTCTGGGAGAGAGTAAAGTACCGCGATATACATATAGGTGCGCTATTTGAATATGTCCTCCGAAGACAAATTTTATTATGGAGGAGAATTTATTTTTCAATGTGTGGTGTAACTTTTCGGAGTGTGAAAATAAAGATACCGAGGTTTTTATTTTCAAGAATTTATAAGTAACGAGCTAGTATCCCTAAATGAACTATTGAATCAAGGTAAATTATTCAAGTTCAAGTGCAAATGATTCTACAGTTTGGTCGCAAAACACGAAAGTGCTCACAGCAGCTAAAGAAAAAAAAGTTATGATCATTTGGTGCAATAAATGTCTCTAAAGCACGATACTGTATGGACTGTAAGAAGAGGACCTCTAGCGCACAAAGAGTTTTTACACGACAAGGCGAAATTTTGCACCAAGAAGTCTTGCCAATCACGCTACTGGAAAGTCGAACAGCTGTCGGGAAAGGAAGCTCTTTCGCCATCTAATATTCTTTCGTCGTACAAAGTTCAGATAAGGCACAGCCTGGAGTACGATCCAGATGTCTGGAGCATTGCTATCCAGACTGCAATATCACACTTAATTTTACTCACAATAGTACTATCCGATGCATTGCTGACACTTCATCCAAATGTTAATCAGCTGTCACATCGACGAGTGGTCGGCGATATGGTCTCTTCTACCAATTTATCACCAGGAAATGATCCTTTGCGATCCGCTTCATGATGCCGATAGTCTAGATGCCCTAGACGGATTCACCAGGTCCTGATTTCAGTTATGATGAAAAGCCTCCAGGTATTGCAGTCTCTTGGGCTTATTGTACCTTATTCCTCGAATTTACAGTGCATAGTAGTCTAGTGTTCTTTACCAGCTGGTGCGGTTTCTGTACCGGTACTGTTATAAACTCCATCAGTTCTAGTTTTGGTTTCCCGTTTTCCTGATTCCATTCCTTTTCTGCAACGTCCGCAGCTAAGATCTTCAACATACAGCCCTATTTAGTGCAGGTGTTCTTTTAGACCATTATGTCCTGTAAGAAGTCCTGTAACTAAATTCATTTTGATCAGTTCTGCAGTCTTGTTTGGACACGGTTTCAAGATGCATTCTTTCCCATGCCCGCATCTAGACACTATGTGCCAATATTCCTTGTGCTGGTTTCTCAACCATTTTTCGACTTGGTTACTTATTGTGCTTTCGGGCACCCCCTAAGCAGAGTGTGGACCTCAATAGGGTGTGGATGATCCTTTCCTTGCAAGCTGATCCGCACTTTCATTTCCTGCTTTACCTGAATGTCCTGGCACCCACATGAAAGTTACTTTGTTGCGTTCCGCCATTGTGTTCACTTCTTGTTGGCATTCCCATATCAGTGCAGATGTCAATCTAGAGCTCTTTAACGCTATAAGTGATGCCTGACTGTCAGTGCTTATGGCGACCTTTTTATTATTACACGCTCGCTCATTATTTACTCTTGCACAGTTCAAGATGGCATACACTTCTGCCTGAAAAACAGAGGTGTACACCTGCATCTGTTCCCTGCCGCGTCAGTGTTCCAGGTAATGTCCCCTTGCCGGTTGTGCCTTTGGAAGTTCTTTTTGAATACAGATCTGGGAACTATGTAGACTTTCCTCGCATCAAGTATGTCGCTTCCCACTATGTTCAATGTGGTCATACCTTCCATTTAGCTGCAGTTGGAGCGATCTTCATTGCACCTGTTATCGACAGGCACGGAAGTTTGTACCTTGCTTCATTATATAATGGCAGAGCGTTGCCTCATTTTTGGCCACTGCACCAGAGATGCATAAGTTATCATGGGTCTTAACCACCATTATGCACGTCCAGTGCATCATGGAAGGGCTCAATCCTCATGTTTTGCTAAGAGAGTGCCTAGACAAGATTCAAGTCGACTTCGCTCTTCTCTTAATGCGTTTAATCTGGGGGTTTCAGGTCAGTCTGGAGTCTAGTATAATCCCCCAGATACCTGACTACCCCCGACAATTGTATATTCTCCCAGAAGGCATAGAGGTCCTAGACCCTCAAATTTCTCCCATCTAGTGAAAGCAACAATTGATGTCGTAAAGGGACTTGCGTTTAAATCTTCATTTGACGTTCATGTTATGACCACATACAGAGCCCTTTGCATTTTGTTACTGCGATTTCTATTCTTTTAGCTTTTTGGACCTTGGCACAGTAGTCGCCTTATCTTAAATGTTGGTCATATTCCGAGCGGTACTTTACAAGTTGCAGGAGGGGCCAAGGATGGGTGGACAGACAGACTGAGATCCCATTTTCGATTTTTTTTTCACTAATTGGCGTGGGAATTGAAAATTGTTCTGTTGGGATGACACATGAATAAAATAAACGGGTAACATTGTTACTAGGGAGAGATGTTATGACTTCAATCACATCAATGGCACAAAGTATGTCAACACAGAAATATCCATCGGAAGCTTTAAACACAAACAAACATCTTAAAGGCGGGATTTCAGTCTGCCTCTTGGCGCCTAATATAGGATTCCAGGTCCGCCCACGTTGCATACAGATGAGGCATTTGCTCTTCCAACCGACACCATTCAGATTCCAATTAGCCAACCGCAAACAAGCCCAAGAAAAACATCAAAGCTGCACGGTGTGGAAGCCGTCACCGTAGCCGTCTCACTCCGGTGGCGCCTTCTGTTCAACGAAATAAATGCGATAGTTACTGTATACTGTCAAAAGAATGTCGATGAAAATGTGATATTTGCTCATGTGGACCGGCACAGTTATTACGAATCTTGAAAAGTGACATTAAGCCGATTTTTTTTGACATTGTATTGGTTTTTTGTGATATTATGTAGGTTTTCTTACCAAATTTTAACTTAGCACTAGCTGATGGACACGTTGTAAACTCGTTTTGTTGTACGTGTTGCCTAAACGCCATCACGCTTCAGCTATCAATTTTTAGCTCTGATGTGAAGTAAAATCTGCTCCAGAGATGGCATTACTGGAAGTAACGGCAATGCATAGTGAGCATTTGTGTGCTAATAATATGTGTTGATGATAATTCCATTGGATTTTTGTCTCAAATACACTTACTTGAGATTCAAAGCTAGCAATTAGTTGCGCATCCAGTTTCTCTTATCCATGATGATTTCCCGTAATTCTCCTAAAACTTTTGAAAACACAAAAAACGTAAAAAATCGTAATTTATAACTTTGACGATACCCTGTCTTCAGAAAGGACAACATATAGATAACCCGTCGGGCTAGATAATATATATATATATATATATATATATATATATTTCATATGCAGCATATGCAGTAATGATTTTTTCACACAAAGCAATTATCACTGATTGCAGATCAATACATACAAATGTCCAGAAGCGATCTTGCTATTCAACCAATTTTCTTCTCAGAGATGAAAGCTATAGATTACTCGGCTTCACAAAACATATGCAACCAACAATGCGAATAGACGTGTAGTTGAGCCATTCCTCTATAGATGGTCGCTCACAACGATCCTAGTGAGCAAATGTGGAATGACTGTTTGCACCCTAAAAACTACCTATTCTGCAAGATGACATTTTATAGTTTTTTGACAGTTTATAGATTTTTTACGTAATACCCGTGCGGCAGGGGTATTATGTACCTTGAAAAGTGACAGTATGTCACCAAACGCTAAAATTTGGAGTTTGGCTTTAGTGTCTCGGTACTAATGCAAGCTCACTATACTAAAGAGTAGTACAAAATAGACGAACGTACTATCGTCGTTTAGAGCTAATACACTAGGTTTTAATCCTCATCTTACCTTCATTTACAGGCCCACATGAATTGCGAGCCTTATTAACATGTAACTGTTTCCAATTAAGTATACATTCAAAGACAATTCCTAGATATCTTCCCATTGGATAAGAACGCATCTCGTTCCAAAATATCGCGTAAAGTAGATTGACTCTCTATTCCCGACGCTTTCGTTGGACGTTTTAAAAAAAAGGGATGGGCCAAACCATTTGAAAGGGTGAGGTACGATCAATCTTCGACCTCTGCATATTAAACTATACAAAGAAAATCTATCATATTCCTATTTCCCTGTCAGATTTAGGGAAAATATATGGACTGATTATGTCTAACAGGTGCACAGTACCACTGAGATTTGCAGCTTCTTAATAACATAAGGTCTTTCACTGACACCAGATATGCAACAATTTACATTTACCGCATATAGCTTCCAACCTACAATTTTTATCCCCTCCACCCCTCCAAAGAATGTCTGAAAATGTGCAGGAATCTTTGAAACGTTATAACACTATGTTCCAGCGACTTTGTTTCTGCCACCTCTCACTCAGTTTTCAAAATCTAGGACTACCAAAACGATGGAAGTATTAAGTCCGTGTATCTCATTTATGTCGGTTTGTTAGCTCATGTCTGTTGTATATCAATGCGTCATCAGTACTACTGGTTCATCTACTTGACGAAATATTTAGAGAACCAGCATAGAAGGTCTAACACAAATTAAAGTCGAAATGGGTTTGGAGATCATAAAATTCATAAAAGTATTTGCGTAGATATCAAAACAGTTAAGTCATCATTTACAAAAGCATCGCAAGACGCTAAAGTGTTACTTACTCCTAATACCTAAATAATACTTAACGCTTCAGTGTGCCAGGTCATCCCCTTGTTAAGAGTGACACCGAGATACTTAGCAGAGCTTTCCCATGGTACCCGAGCTCCATTCACTGAAACCTCAGACGGGGCACCGCTACGTTTTTTAGTACAATAGATTGCCTGCGTTTTCGAATGATTAACTTTGATCAGCCACCGATTCGCCCATTCCAATACCTCGTCTACTGCACTTTGAAGCCTGCCGTGAACTAGATCCCCAGAGTACGACTGGGCCACCAGGGCAGCGTCAGCAGCATAGAGATATGTTTCACAGTTGCTGGGGCAAGGCACGTCAAGAATAAAAAGTGAATAAAGGACTTGTCCAAGAAGCGAACCCTGAGGGACACCGGATTTGATGGGCCGTGTTGTCGACAGAACGGTATTAATTTTGATCCGAAATTTCCTACCCTCGAGGAAGGTTTTCAAAAGTTTTAGGAGCCAGAAGGGGAAGCCCTTATGGATCAATTTGTAGAGAAGGCCCTTGTGCCACACCTTCTCAAATGCCTTTGAGACATCCAGAAGCAAGATGCCAGTACTTTCGTTACGGTTGAACCCCCTTGTTACTCGTTCAACAAGCCTTATGGCCTGTAGCTCCATACTATGCTCAGACCGAAAGCCAAATTGCACGGCCGGAATCACATTGTGGTCTG